TTATCCTGACCAACATGGTAAAACCCCATCTCTACCAAAAAATACAAAACTTAGCCAGGCATAATGGTGGGCACCTGTAATCCCAGCTACTGGGGAGGCTAGGGCAGGAGAATTGCTTGGACCCAGGAAGCAGAGATTGCAGTGAGACGAGATCACACCACTGCATTCCCACCTGGGTGACAGGAGTGAGACTCCATCTAAAAAACAAAAAAGAAAAACAAACAAAAATAAATCCAGCTAGCAAATAAATAAATAATACATAAATCCAGTTGGCCTATGTTGACAGGTCTGTCCTCTTGACACAAACTATACTTGTTCTCTCTGGGTTCGGGAATCTAGGGTATGAGCCAACATATATGCTTGTCTGAAAGCGCCATTTATCTCTGCATCTTTCTCACTGAGCCTTAACTTATTATCCTTATTCTGTGCACCTTAGTAAAATCTCTGCTACTGTGAGGTCCTACTGGGGGCCTTTCAACAACTCTGCCCAGGCCTAGGGTCTCCTGGGACCACAAACATTAAAAAAATGGAAGCAGCCAACACACCATCCTCTGGACAGCAGAGACCAGTGCAATGCATTCCTTTTCTCTTTGCTCCAATCTCCTTCTATTCCCTGTCCTTCTCTCTTCCTCTCCCCATCTCTCTTCTCTCTTCTTCCCTCATCAATTCCCCTTCCCCATCCTAAACCTTGCTACTCCTCCAGCTCTACCAGGACACTTGCCTAACAGGGTCAGAACACCAACCCAAAGAAGCACAAAGAAAGCAGGAAGGCCTCTTAACTACTCCTGACCCACCCACCTGACCACCTTCTCTGTCACACTCAGGCCTCCTGGGATGGATGTCACCCGCCTGCTTCTGGCCACCCTGCTGGTCTTCCTCTGCTTCTTCACTGCCTACAGCCACCTGCCACCCGAGGAGAAGCTCCAAGATGACAGAAGCCTGAGAAGCAACTCCTCTGTGAACCTACTGGATTTACCTTCTGTCTCTATTGTGGGTAAGTCACCTAATCTCTGGGCTCTGGCCCAGGAGAGGGGCTGCAGGAGATCAAGCATGCTCCCCGAGGTGCTACCAGGATCCACTGCCATGGTCATGGCTCCTTCTTGCTCATTCCATTAAATAATCCTGGGAGAATAAGTGTCCCTTGACTCATTTGGTTTGGAAAAGGTCTGCATGTCACTAATCTAATATACAGCTTAGCATGGCGGAGGCTCTGAAAGGCCTAGAGTTAAGACATTTGGTGAACTTCATTTAACTTAGCATTTCTGAAACTTAATGAATCACATAACTCCCATCAACAGTAACAAACTTGGGCCGGGCGTGGTTGCTCATGCCTGTAATCCCAGCACTTTGGGAGGCCGAGGCGGGTGGATCACGAGGTCAAGAGATCGAGACCATCCTGGTCAACATGGTGAAACCCGGTCTCTACTAAAAATACAAAACATTAGCTGGGCATGGTGGCGCGTGCCTGTAATCCCAGCTGCTCGGGAGGTTGAGGCAGGAGAATTGCCTGAACCACCAGGAGGTGGAGGTTGCGGTGAGCCGAGATCGTGCCATTGCACTCCAGCCTGGGTAACAAGAGTGAAACTCCGTCTCAAAAAACAAACAAACAAACAAAAAACAGTAACAAACTTTAGGACATGCTTCAGAATATACACAAGTCTGGGATGGACCAGTCCTGCCATGTCAGGGTTGAAAATGATGGCCCAGGGGAAAATATGAGGGGCATTAGAGCCTGGTATTGGAGATCTGGTTTGACTTCACCTGATAATAATCATAGACATACTGTGTGGTAGGCACTGTGAGGTGAGTACATTATTCATATTTCACAGTTGGGGAACTTGAGGCTTAGGAGAGTTAAGTAACTAGCATGGATCACAGTTTTCAACTGGCAAAGCCAGAATTCAAAATCAGGTGCTTAATTCTAGAACCTAAGCCTAAACTCAACACTAATATCCCTTACTACCTTGCCTTTTGCTAGGAAAAGAGGATATTTGGGGCTGGGTGAAGTGGCTCATGCCTGTAATCCCAGCACTTTAGGGAGCTGAGGCATGAGCATTATTTGAGCCTAGGAGCTCAAGACCAGCCTAAGCAACATAGGGAGACCCTGTCTCTACAGAAAAATTTAAAAACTAGCAAGGCACGATGGTGTGCACCTATAATCCCAGCACTTTGGTAGGCTAAGGCAGGCAGCTCTCTTGTGCTCAGGTGTTCGAGACCAGCCTGGTCAACAGAATGAAACCCCATCTCTACTAAAAATACAAAAATTAGCCAGGCATGGTGGCATGCACCTGTAGCCCCAGCTACTTGGGAGACTGAGGTGGGAGGATCGTTTGAGCCTACAATGAGCTGTGATTGTGCTACTGTACTCCAGCCTGGGTGACAGAGTAACACCTTGTCTCAAAAACAAACAAAAACTAGCCAGAAATGGTGGTGCATGCCTATGGTTCTAGCTATTTGGGAGGCTGAGGCAGGAGGATTGCTTGAGCTTAGGAGGTCGAGGATGCAGAGAGCTGTGATCACACCACTGTACTCCAGCCTGGGTGACAGAGAGACCCTGTCTCAAAAAAGAACTGTTTTAATAAATAAATAATCGCTGGGCACGGTGGCTCAAGCCTGTAATCCCAGCACTTTGGGAGGCCGAGGCGGGTGGATCACGAGGTCAAGAGATCGAGACCATCCTGGTCAACA